AAAGCATAATAAGTCTTCATGTCTACAAGGGCACACATTCTTATGCCATCTTTTGACCCATCACTTTTCCATAAGTCTTTTACATTCCTGCGAACACCATAAGAAATCTGTGCTAAATACAGCAGATCTATGAATACTTTCAGTTCCACTAATGAGCTGTCATCATAAATACATTTTTGAATATGGCTATTGGTGGATACAGAACGTTTTACTTGTATTTCGGCCTTTTAATTTCACAGCATCTTGTAGCATGTTGTCTGTTACAATGTCCAACAGTGAAGGGCACTGCTGGCATTCTGTCCAGTACATTTCACCCCTGCCAAGACCCTCACTGTATTTTCAGACCTAGTTCTAACGTTGGATCGTTCCATTTGGATGCATGGCCATTTCACAAAATTGGGACTAGTCAAACATGTACCCACATGGCTGTTTTCTTCCTCATCTGAATCAAGGAGGTCTGCATTCTGTGTATCTGTCAGTCAATTCTTGCTCCATTTCACTGTCACAGGAACTTTGGCTCACATGGCCAGTGTCAAAGTCATCATCATCCACCCCCACCCACTCTTCTGCTGTGAAAACATGCATTTTACCGTAGATCATCTTCATCATCCATGCATGAGTAATCTGATGTTTCACCTCTGACCTCCTCCAAAACTTGGAAATCTGGTTTATCATATGCCATTGTACTGAATTGAGCTACTTCTACAGTAAAATAAAAACTTTAACAACAAATTCTACAAATTACACTCTGTGATGCTCAGGTAAGTGTATGCCAAACTTGTTAGAAGGAGCACCATATGGGTGAGGATCCTGGTTTGACACTTCTGCACCTGTGCACACCTTGCCTTTCATCATAGCAAGTGAGAAAACAAAGGATTGCTTCCTGTATCCCTCAGGCAAAGGTACTGAGACCCACGGCCAGCTACTATTATGCTAAAGTAAAAATTTATAGTAGAAAAGGGAAGTGTTTGTGGAACCCAGTGTTATGCACCATGGGTTATTAAAAGGGGGTGGGTGGACAGGCATCAGTGTTTTTTTTAAAAGTTCTCTGTATGATCCTAACGCAGCACTTAAGAATCAGAGAGCTTGCTGTTTGCCACCTTCTGCTTCCCTGCCTGCTCTGCGATGCCCCTCTGCCATGCCGTCTTGGAGACAGCCAACTATAAACTGAAACCTCTGCAAACTGCAAGCTAAATAACCATTTCCTCCCTTAAAAAAAAAAATCAGAGAGCCACAGCAAAAGCAAGGGCCAACCTGAGCTCCCCACTAGCAGACCCAGTTCAGAGCCCCCCTTAGTCAGCCCTCAGCCAGTCAAGGATCCACAGGTCAGATGATAATCACCCCTCCTTGGAAATTAGAGCAATCTGAGCACACAGCTCCCCCGCCAACCGTGCCAGCACAGGGTTTGGGCTTTCTCCGCACATGAACCTAACAGGTCCTCAGAGGCTCCAGGAAGGCAGCAGGCCTTCCCCACAGCATCAGACAGTGTTAAGAAACTTGGCCTGAGGCGTGAAAAGGGACCCAGAGATTGAAGGCCCATGTGGGTGAAGGACACTCAGGATACAGGAATACCGAGGCTGTGGACAGCCCACACTCGGGGCTCCTTCACTATCCCCTTCTCGGTGCTAAATTTTGTATCTAGCTGGTGGCTATGTCCAAGCAATACATCCCTGTGAGCAGCAAGCAGGCTTTTCTGGGGGCCCCCAGACCATCTCTCAAATAGAAGGTTGGCAACTCCCCCTCATCCCGCCTCCAGGAACCACTGGACAATAACTTATTAAACTTCCCCTGGAGACAAGGGTAGCCCATGGTAAGACAGAGATCTGGACCAGACCCTGCTTGATGTGTGAAAGGGTGGGGGAACCACACTGGTAAAGCACACAAAAACACCACAAGAGTGGTACCCAATTCCAAAGTATTTTAATCCCAACTCCGAAGGGCGGCCCAGCCCAGGTATCTAGGGCCCTGGGCTGTTCTCCTTCGCTCAGGCCCCACAGCCAGATCTTGGCCTTGGCCCCCACTTCTCACTTCAGACCATCACCCTGGGGTCCAGTTCCATCCTCTCTTCAGGCCTCGATGGTGACACCTTCCGCTCAGCTTCCTCTTGTGTCACTCTGAGAGGACGCCTCCTTCACAGCCAGCGAGTCCTCGGGTTCTCTCCTGGCGCAGTCAACCGTCCAGGCTGGGGCCCTTGCCCCCTGACTCCAGCCCCATCACCACGGCCAGTAACGCCTCCGTGAGAGGTCCGGCCTCCTCACCTGCTGCCTCCACCAGCCCCACAAGGGCCAGGGCCCGCTTCCTTGGGCACCGCCCTGGCCCCAGTGTCCAGCGTGCACAGTGGGCAGCTAGCCGGGGCCGGCCCAGGCGGAACACCTCCCCCACTGATTCGGGGGCACCCTGGGGACCCAGGTGGATGCGGCCCACAGCCTCTTCCAGCTCCTCCTCAAGCCCAGGCAGCAAGAAACGCCCAGCAGCCTCCAGGGCCTCCTCAGCCTCTGAGCCCAGCAGGGGCTGCCCTGGCGGGGGTACGGGCCCCAGCGCGGCCCCACAGCCCCGGCAGCCATGCAAATGATGCAGGATAGGCCAGGCCGCGCTGGGTGACAGGCCTCGAAGCGGCACCAGGTCCATCTGGGCTTCTGCAAAGCTGCCCGACAGCAGGGCCCGGAAGAAAGGGGAGGCAGCTGCTGAGGTTGCTCGCTGAGCAGGGAGCTGTAGGCCTGAGTCCAGCAGGAAGTACAGGTCGGGAGCTAGGGCCGGGGCTGGAGCCAGCAGAGGTTCATAGAGGCAAGGGGTCGGGGGGTCTGCATCCATGGGCGCTGCAGCCGGGAAGGCCGGGCTCGCGGCGGGCGACACCAGGCCTTGGAGGCAGGAAAGGGAGTCCGCAGCAAAGAAGAGGAACAGCGGGTGTGGAGCTGGCCGGGTCAGCGCCGTGAGGAGGAGGCGCAGGCCGCCCTGGTCCAGAAGCAGCCTGCGCCAGAGAGACGGCTTCCTGCAGAAAGAAGGGGAACCGTTCAGAAGATGGACGGGGTGGATCTGGGGAACAGAAACTCCGCTCGCCTCAGCCCTACCGGACACCCACAGCCCCCTCACCGGCAAATGAAGGGCAGGGTCAGGGCACAGGCTACACGGTCCTCAGAGCTTCCGGAGAGCAGCAAGTGAGTCAGCGCACCTACTCCGAACGGAGACTCGGCCTGGACGGTCAGGTTCTGCAGCAGCATCTCACCTGCGGGGTGGGCCGAGCGGGTCAGCAGGGGCGGGGTCAAAGCCTGGGGCGGGGCGGGGGAGGGGGGGGACTTGAAAAGGATGACACAACTTGAGGGCCACAAATCAAGGCGCAGCAGAGGGCGCTGACTGCAGGCCTGCAGGCCTTGGGGTGTGGGGTGAGGACACGAGAACTGGAATCCAAGGCCAAGAACAGAAAGCAGGATGGTCCCAGGGCAAGTCCCGGCCCTCAAGGACTGACACGGTCTGCGGTGAGGACGCAGAAGGCGGGGCAGTCCCTGGCAGTGCTGGAAACCGTGGCAAGGCCTGGGAGAAGGTGGTACCTGGGTCTGGGTGCATGTCAGTGTGCCCAGGGCGAGAGTGGGTAAGAAACAGAGACGGGGAATGTTTTATTGCTGGGCCTGAAGGTTTGGAGAGGGGACAGACTATAACTGCGTGCGGGGCTGTGGCGCGGAAGGGACAGCACCACGCCCCGCTGTTCCCACAGGCCCCCAGCACCTGGTGGCTGGTGTTTCTTGGACCATGGGCTCCAGAGGACATTAAGAGGGCAGGTGAGCAGGAAGGTAAGGTTCTGGCCCATGAGAGGCCCAGGAAGAAGAAGAAAGCCTCTCCTGTGTGCGGGGAACTAGGAGACATACCCAGCTCTCGGTGCTGGTTCCGGCGCACGGGCCGGGCCCGGGGTGCAGGCCAGTCGTCCGGAGCGACCCCGAGCACCAGCCAGGCACGCAGCAGCGCCGCACCATAGCTGCGCACAAAGGCCTCAAGGCAGGCGGGGTTGCAGGTGAGGCGCGCCAGGATGCGGAGTGCACGTGGGCTCGGCGGGCCCGGTGCCCCTGTCACGTAGGCCAGCAGGCCACACAGCGCCGGACCAGTCACCAGCGCCCCGCTGGGGTCGGGGGCCTGGGAGAAGCGCGAGAGCAGCAGCAGTGCCGGCCCCTCCCGGCCCCAGGGCTCCTCAGCGGCGGCGGGGGCGGCGGGGCTTCGGCCCAGGGTGCGCAGCGCGCCTGGGCTCCGCAGCGAGGTCTTCCCAGGGGTGGTAATGACGGGGTCTGCGGGCTCTGGCAGGGGACAGCGCTCAGGAGACCAGTCCGGAGAGACGTCCCCAGCGTAGCCCTCGGAGATCAGCCAGGACCTGCAAAGGGCAGAAGGAAAAGGAGCCTGAACCCGGGGCCAAGGCAGGGGAACGCAGCGGAGGGCGCCGCCCTGAGGCAGAGCGGGAGGACGGGAGCCTGGGTACCAGCGAACTTGGAGACGCAGAGAGAGGGGACGGAGCCAACCTCGCTCAGAATTCCTGCTGCCTCTCGTGAGCCCAGCACTGTTTTAACTGCTGGGAGAAGCATGAACAAAACAGAATTCCTGCTCTCCTGGAGTTTATGTTCCTTGCAGGGCACACAGATGACGTAAGTACATCATATTGTTCCTGGGACGTCAGTGGGGTGCAGAGTGTTAACACAGGGCAGAAGAAGGGCTCTGCACGAGCTGGAGGGGCAGAACGGAAATTCTATTTTTTTGTTTTGTTTTGTTTTGTTTTTTTTCCGGTACTGGGAATCAAACTCACAACCTCGCGCTTGCCAGGAGAACGGAAATTCTAAACGGTGGCGACGGAGCAGCTGAACAGAGACGAGCCGCAGGCGGCACGGAGGCACACGGGAGGAAAGTGAGCACAGCACAGAGGCCCCAGGCAGCACCTTCCCATCGTGTCCACAAACCAGGAAGGCGGCCAGTGCGTCAGCGCGACGTAAACCGCAGGCAGAGCAGTCCCGATGACGTCAGAGGGCACAAGCCGGTCAAGGACAAAGCACCCGCGTTTCTGTGGCCAGTTAACCCCGCGGGGTGCTGTTATTTCCGTGTGCACACCGGAACGAGAGGCTCGGAGAACCCCTTCCCATGACGCTGCGGTGACGGTAAGGGGGAAGAGCTCGGGCCCCCCGCAGATTACCGCAGGAAGCAGTGCACACGCTGCCTCCCCGCGGACCCGACAGGAGCCCTAAGCGGAGGCAAGGCAGCGCCAGCGCCAACAGGAAGATCAGGCAGGAGAGCGGAGGTGTGCATAACGCGGACCGGAAAGGGCCATGGCAGAAAGGAACAGGGACTCACGAGCGAGAGTCGCTAAGAGCCGTACTGCGCCAGGACAGAGGGCGAGGGCAGTGCGGAGACCTACAGGTCCCTCCCCACCCCTAGGCGCCGCGCGCTCCCCCAAGCCCGCAGCCGAGCACTCGCCTGAGGCTTCGGAAGCTTCCAGCTTCTGCCCGCTCAGGGGTCCGCTCCTCGGGGAAGTCCCAGGAAGCGGCCTCTCTCCCCTCTTCTTCCTCTTCGCCGGCGTCACCGCACAGCTGCCCAGCCAGGAGAGGCACCAGTCCCAGAGCCTGCAGCCGGCCCAGGGCCCCGGTATCGTAAAGGAAGCCCACGAGCGCCGCCACGACTCGCGGATGCCAGGCACTGGCACGAGGGTCCCGCAGCAGGCCCATCAGGAGCTCCAGGCCCCCAGCGTCCCGCAGACGGGCTCGGTTGATGGCCTCGCGGCACAGGAGGCACACGGCCCGCACCAGGGGCTGCTGGGAAGCTGGACTAGCCGCACTGGGGCCGCGGCGTCGCCGGAGCTCATCTAGCAACACCTCCACACCACCGGCATTGCCCAGCGCAGGCCGCACCAGGCCCTGGGCGCACAGGTTGGCGAGGATCAGGATGGATGTTTCACGAACCAACCGCTTCGGGTGAGAGGCCAGGCTGACAAGTGGGCCCAGCCCCCCACCCAGACTTAGCTGCTCGGCACAGGCCCGGGAGCAGCCTCGGCTGAGTTCCAGGAGGGCGCGGACTAGGGCTGAGGTCAGCGCAGGGTCTGAGGCCGTGGCCAGGAGCTCCGCCAGGGGGCGCACGGCTCCCTGCTGTGCCAGGGCCAGGCGGTGCGGGGGTGAGTCCGCCAGGTTGCGGAGGGCACGCACCACGCTCTGCAGGCACTGCGAGTCCTGGCAGGCTGTGAGGCTCTCCACCAGCAAGGGAACGGCCCCTGGAGGGGGAAAGAGCGGCCACGGGGTAAGCAAGGACAGACACCGAAGCCCTTCTCCCGCCCCAAGCCCTGTGGAACCCCAACCTCAGAGCCTTCTCACCAGCAGAGTGGATCTCCCCAGAGCTCTCGGGGTCTACAGCTAAGTTCCCCAGCGCACGAGCTGTTCGGTTCTGGATGCTGTCCGTCTTCACACACTGCAGAATGGTCACTGCAAGGCAAGTGGGGTCTCTCGTCAGCTGCCTCAAGAACGTGGCTGCTCAGCATCAGGGCAGGCCTTCAGAAGATGCCGACCACAAGCTGGGACCGGAATCCTAAACAGGCGTCTGCCAGGTGGGATGTGCAGGAGGATGTTCCACGGCCAAAGCCCTGGGGTAGCACCGGGCGTCTGCGCTCTATTCTCATGAAGACCCTCAAATGCCAGCCCCCCCGGGTCAAGACTTACATGCAAAGGCACGGGCTACACAAGGGTTTTAAGAAGGGGAATGGCATGGTACAGCCTGGCATTCCAGGGCGTGGGGGCACCTTACAGGAGAAAAGAATAGGGCAGCAGGAGTGGTGAGGAAGCTACCAGAGCAGTCTGGGTGAGGGAAGAGGAGTCGACTGCCTGTTCCGCCCAGCACAGCCTCTGAGCACCTGGCGGGAGTGGGGGCGGAAAGGAGTGGATGGATTGGAGTGGATGGATTCAAGAGATATTTTAAAGGCAAAATACTAACCGATGAGGATTAACGAAATTAACAAAACCTATCGTTTATTGAGAACTTAGGAATGTGCTAGGCACCTTGTGAAACACATTATGGTTCAAACACCTTTTATGCAGGTTTTAAATATATCACTTTAGCCAAAAAAATTAAGATTGTGTCAAAACTGGCGTAATTTCAGAGGGCGAATAACGGCATGTTGCTGTGTTCCCATCGCCGCCACAAGGAGGCGCCAATTTAGCTGGAAAACAGAAAAGCTTATCTTTGGTTGGGATTTGTTCTCAGGGCGTAAAGTTCTTTTTTTTTTTTTTTTTTGGTCATTTTGAAACAGGGTCTCGCTATGTAGTTCAGGCCGGCCTTGAGCTCGCTTTGTAGTCCAGGCTGGTCTCGAACTTGCAATGATCCCCCTGCCTCAGCCTCCCGAGTGCTGGGATTACAGGCGTGCGCCACCACGCCCGACAGTTTTTAATTTGAAGTACCCAGCCTATGCTTAGGCGGTGCATTCTTTTTTTTTTTTTGTCTTTTTGAGACAGGGTCTCACTATGCAGTTCAGACTGACCTTGAGCTCACTTTGTAGCCCAGGCTGGCCTTGAACTCGCAACGATCCTCCTGCCGATCCTCCTGCCTCAGCCTCCCAAGTGCTGGTATTACAGGCGTGTGCCACCACGCCCGGCAGTCCATGCATTCTATAAAAGTGTATTTTATTTCTCTCTCCACTCTTAATTTTTTGAGGTAGCTATTATCCCACTTCGGAAGAGATCCTCAATTGGAGGGGTCAAGTGCCTTGCCTATGTGGCTCCCTGGACTACTTTTTGACCCACAACTGCACCTTCTGGCACCCATCTTGTGCGGGGGTGGGGGGGTGGGGTGGGTGTGTGGGTGGGTGCGGTGCGGGGCCGGGCACACAGTGGACAATGTCTGCTATGACGTCATAAACAGAGGTCCAGCATGATCTGAAAAGACATCAGTTGGGTTCCATCTGCCCAGAGGCGAGGGAGGTTCCAACACCGACATAATATCCGTTATTATCTGATCTGAGGGGGCAGGGGCGTAAACTACTAGGACAGCAGTGACATCATGGGGCATGACGCCTCGGGAGATGGGGCACGGCGCCGTCACAAAGCACTATTCCAGGCTGGGATACAAAGAACTCCAGACTGTGGATGTCCTGACCGGGAGGGAGGCGAGCATGGAATCTTTCTAGGAAACGGGGGCGGGGCACTTACCTAAAGGGAGAATGCCTCCGAGTCTGCGCACTTCAGCCCGGCACGCCCCGTCCGTACAGCAGTTGGCTAGGATGCTGAGCGCCAAGTCCAGCGTCTTGCGCAGGCGCACTGGCGGCGAAGGCGAAGGCGAAGACGGCGACACAGCAGAAGAGGCGGGGCTGGGGGAGGGGGAGGGACCAGCAGAAGCAGCTGACGCAACAGACAAGGGGGCGGAGCCAGGGCCTTCGTCTGACGGGGCGGGGTCCGCCGCAGCCGCTCGCCGTAGCAGGGCGAGAAGGGGGCGGAGTCCGCCGCGTGCCCGGAAGCGCTCGATCCCCCCCGCTGCTTTGATGTGGCGCGTGCGGAGAGCCAGGAGCGCACGACCTAGGGGTGTCTCGTTGGTAGCTGGGTCCTTTCCCCCCACAAGACCCTCCCCTGCCGCCGCTGTGAGCTGCGCGAGGCAAAACGAGAGCGAGTCCGTAAGGGTTGCTTTCGCAGCCGCCATCTTGGCCCGGGCCTAAGGCTCCGCCCCGCCCGTCGCGGCTTACCCGGGAGCGGAACTGTGAGAGAGAGGCGTGGCAAGGCTACTCCTCCCCGAAGGTGCCGAATTGGCGCAGCCGCAGTTATCCCTGGAGTCGGAAGTTGTAGTTTTTGATTCCGGAAATGTGGTTCTGGAACAGCCGCAGGCACCTAGGGATTGGTAGTCATTGACGGGATGTGTAGGGCTGAGAGGCGCGTGAGATGCTGGGATATGTAGTCTGCGCCAAGTTGAGCGTGTTTCATTAAGAACATAAGACTGTGTTTAATGATCCCATCCCTTACTTTTCTACCATAAATTTATAGTTTATCCCCGCTGTGGATCTCAGAACCTTTGCCTGAGGGATACAGAAAGCAATCTGTGTGTTTACTCTCTCGGTATGGTGTACAGCAAGGCGTGTACAAGTGTGCAAAAGTGTCAAAACGGGATTTGGACCCATTTTTATGCTGTCTGATTTTGCCTATGTTTACCTGAGCATGAGAGTGGGTCCAAAAGGACCCCTAGCACTCCAGAATTTGTGTGTGTGTGTGTGTGTGTGGGAGTTTTCTTTTGATTTTGCTGCAAGTTTTGGGGGAGGTCAAAGGTGAATCATCAGATAACTCATGTATGGATGATGAAGATGACCTACTACGGTAAAATGCATGTTTTCACAGCAGAAGAGTGGGTGGGGGTGGATAATGATGACTTTGACATTGGCCATGTGAGCCAAAGTTCCTGTGACAGTGAAATGGAGCAAGAATTGACTGACATAGATACGCAGAATGCAGACCTCCTCGATTCAGATGAGGAAGAAAACAGCCATGTGAGTACATGTTTGACTAGTCCCAATTTTGTGAAATGGCCATGCATCCAAATGGAACGATCCAACGTTAGAACTAGGTCTGAAAATACAGTGAGGGTCTTGGCAGGGGTGAAATGTATTGGACAGAATGCCAGCAGTGCCCTTCACTGTTGGACATTGTAACAGACAACATGCTACAAGATGCTGTGAAATACAAAGGCCGAAATACAAGTAAAACGTTCTGTATCCACCAATAGCCATATTCAAAAATGTATTTATGATGACAGCTCATTAGCGGAACTGAAAGTATTCATAGATCTGCTGTATTTAGCACAGATTTCTTATGGTGTTCGCAGGAATGTAAAAGACTTATGGAAAAATGATGGGTCAAAAGATGGCATAAGACTGTGTGCCCTTGTAGACATGAAGACTTATTATGCTTTTGGTTTTATTTATCCTGGAACTCAGCCACCAGGTCCTTATTCCTAGAGTAATAAACCAACTGATGTTGTGAGCAGACTTGTTCCTCCCATCTCCCAAACTAATTGGAATGTGACATTTGACAGCTGGTTTACTGATTTCCAATTGATGTTACATTCCCTAACAGAGCACAAGTTGACCCCCAAGGAGCTGTACACAGGAGCAGAGCAGAAATTCCAAATGAAATGTTGCAATTTCAAAACAGAGACTTGTATAGTACAATCTTTGGATTTCAGAAAGATATACATAGAAAGATCTCCATCATATATGGCAAAGAAAAACAAACTGGTAGTGCTGATGCCAACATTGCACCACGATGGAAATATTGATAGAGAAACCTCGACAAAATGGAAGCCTGAGATGGAAACCAAAGGCGGAGTAGATGTTGTTGAGTCATGCAGCAACTGTGATGTCACTTGAAACACAAGCCA